TTAAAATAATTTGTTTATTTTTACTTTATATACATTGGTGTTTCGCCTGCAGGTCTGTCTGTATGGGGGCATCAGATCCCCTGGAACCGGAGTTACAGACAGTTGTGAGCTGCCATGTGGATGCTGGGACTTGAACCCGAGTCCTCTGGAAGAGCAACCAATGCTCTTAATCACTGAGCCATCTCTCCAGCCCTAAATTAAATTCTTGAAGAAGTGTGTAGATGGTGTGTGTGTGTATGTGCGTGTGTGTGTGTGTGTGTGTGTGTGTGTGTGTGTGTGTGTGTGTGTGTATAAGGAAACACATACACACATTGGGAAAATAGAGATGCAGGCAAACATTGGGCATCAATTAAACAACTACTGATTTAAAGTCACAGGTAGTAAATGTTGCATAACCCCAGAAGATCACAGACTCTGCAGTCTGCATTAACTGACTGTTTTCTGAATTGGAACTCAGCAGAAACACTTTTCTACCTGAACTATTCCAAACAGGGTGGCTTCCTCCTTTTAATTAGTGACATTAAGAGCACAGCTAATGTGACATAACAAATACTGTTCTTCTGTAGTGGATAGCCATTCCAGCTTTGGTCTGGAAGTTCCAACCCCCACTGAGGCTTCAGTAACTATCACAGCCTACAAGATGGGGCCAGGGGAGGGCCCTGAAGACCCGAGATCCGGATGCGCTGAGCTCGCTTGCTGCTGGGAGCCCAGACACTAGAGGTGGACCGAGGAGAGTTCTCCAGAGAACACCGCTGGACTGCGCTGCGTCTTTTCCAGAACCCGCCACCTACCTATCCCTTCATTTGTAAGTTACCCACTAAATAAATCTCCCTTTTAACTATGTGGAATGGCCTTAATAATTTCACCAATATTCTTCCATTGGTCAAATTACTGTTGAGCCTTGAATCATATTCTGATAGGGAAGTTCAATGACACATACAACTTGATATGCAAGTTAAAGGAACTGAGACATTCTTGATTTTTGGTATTTACTGATGACCAAGTTACAGAGGCATGGCAGAATGTATGGCAGACTGCAACTGCCTGATGCCACCACATTTTATTATAACCTCCTTCTTTTACAAGTAAAATATGAACATATATAATAAATAATCTGTGTTCTGATTTAGTACAGAATTTATTTTGGCTTTAGTGTGAGGCTGCTACATAACTAACACTGCGTGTGGACCTCAGGTGGTGCGGCTGTCAGGGTACAGTGACATGCTCTGAAACAGAGTGACCTGAACAGGCCACCCAAGTCTGAAGTGGTCATGAATATTAAGGAGTTTGGGAGGACTTTTTTTTTCCATGAATAATCTTATTAGCCTCTGAACTATACAGAAATGCTCCAATATCACAGAGACGTGGATAGAGGGGCTGAGAATATTAACATGTGTAAAGCTATCAACTTGATCAATTAACAGAGTCAGGGGTGAGGTCCAGCACCTTCTGAGGAATACTCAGAAAATTAGTAAGTTGTGTCCCCAAATGGTCATAATATTCAGTAATTCACCCAGCGTCTATTTTATAAAGGCTCATCACAAGTGTAGCTCTGGCTTTGATGGCTATAGCATAAACTTAGCTACTATTTTTGTGACATACACTCTCAAGTTCTGAAAAGTCCAGAATTGTACTGAAACCTTTTCAAGCCCTTTATGATTACTGTCATTTCATAGACTATTTCCTTATTCTTTTTAACTTGTTTGTGGAAAACAATACAGAGACAGATTTCTGTGCTCTAGTAATGAGCTCCCCAATCAGGTTGAGATATATATAGCAAGACACTTACAATTAGCATTTTTATCTAGTTCTAGAGTTTCCTATTTATTTTCTCAGTCTGTTTTATTTTATACATCTAAAATATTCAAAAAACGATTCCACATGATGTTATTAAAATATGCAAATGGTACAACGATTATGGCTTTGCTTGCTTCCAAACACAGACCACAGACAGAATGAACCACACATCAGAGCCTCTCCAGCTCTGATCCAATGCAGTTGACTGTTGGCAGTTAGGATCAAGCCACCAGGCACTGCTTGGGTTTTCCTGATAATGCATCCTTGCTGTTTTTACCACTCAAGCAGAGGTCAAAATGCATACTCAGATTTCAGTTTCAACAAGAAATTTATTAAAGCACAATGGAGAATATCTATGTAGAAAAGCCAAGAAAGGTCTAGGGACTGGATTTAGTTCTGTAAGAGAACAACTGCCTAGTAAGGGCAAAGCATGAAGATGATAACTAGCAAAACACACATACATGCGCGCGCGCGCACACACACACACACACACACACACACACACACACACACACACTCACAAATGAAGAAAAGGAAGGCGAAAAGGAGGGAGGGAGGGAGGGAGGGAGGGAGGGAGGGAGGGAGAGAAAAGCCACAGAAAACTCCTAGACTCAAGTAAGGACTATCTGAGAGTGTCTTAATAGATACCATCTAAAACAGGGCAGAACTGGGTCTAGGGGGTGTGACTCGGTGGTAAGAGAGGTACTGGGTTCAATCACCAAAACACAAAAAGTAAAAAGTAAAAAAGAATTTAGCTTTCAAAAAATAAAGAGCAGGGAAAAAAGAGAAATAACTCTCAAGTTAGGGTTCCTTTTAAGATACTGGACTTACTTTCCTCTGTATTGAAGGTGAAAATCAAATCACTACCCTTATTTATGGTGATTTTACCTATAATTTTAATATGCAGATTTCCTTCCTGAATTCTGCAAATAAAATATTCACAGGTTGGCTTAGTGCTCTTCTTAGATCACTTTTTGTTGTTTTTGTTTTTCAAGACAGAGTTTTTCTGTGTAACAGCCCTGGCTGTCCTGGCATTCACTTTTGTAGACTAGGCTGTCCTCAAACTCACAGAGACCTTCCTCTGCCTCCCCAGTCCTGAGATTGAAGGCATGTGTCGCCGCCACCACCACTCATCCATGAAGATCACTTTTAAGTGAAAACTGACTCCACTTATAAAGGAATCACATAGAAAAAAATTACAATGCTCAATTCTTTGTTGCACCTACCTCTTGCTACCAAAGGGATTCAATTTTGATTAGATTCCTTTGTAGTGACTAATATTTTTCTATATTCTTCGCAAAGGAAGAAAAAAAAGTCTCAGGTTTCCTTCTTAGCTATTTTTGAATCAAAATGTTGCTTTTCTTCAGTACACTGATTAGTATGCTAGCATGTTAAAACAACTCAACAGGGATGTTAATGTACATATTTAATACTGAATGAAGTAATACAGTCTGGGCTACTCATAGATCCATCACAACTTCATAGAAAAACAAATGCATTTGAAATGAGAATGTCTAAATTCAGCCAGCAGGTTCTAGAGCTGCTCATTTGTTGCCAATTTCCACTGACATTAATTCAGGCTTGGGAGCAAGAATTCCATACGGAAAACTTAAGGCTGACCCTGCTCTGGAATGGAGTTTAAACTTGCAGGAAGAAACCATATTTTGATTTCAGTGCCCACTATACACAGAAAAGAATGACTGCTGTTTATATTAGCATCAGTCCACCAGGGTAGAAGGCTTTGAGTCTGCAATGGGAAGTAAGACACATTTAACTGACGGTGATAGACAGTCAGTTTTACCATCACAGTAGCCTGGAGACAGACACACCTTTTCATGTTCTGTACTCAACCTGGCCACTTTTGCTGCCTCTGGAGGGCTTGGAATTGACATCGCTTGAATTTATGCTTTCTCTAAATGTAAAGCAGTGTTCTTTTCACACAGTTTTAGCCCGACCAAGGAGTTCAAGCATAACTTAGATTAAGGAGAAGGAACTGAAGCTTTAGAAATTCAGTGTTTGTTCTTGACCTTTTTTTTTTCCTTTTGTTTTTATGAGGTTGAGCTAAACACCCCAAAGTGGAACATAACTACTCTACAGAAAGGAAGGAAATAGTCTTCCTTTTTTTTTTTTAATGTGAAAAGCCCACAAGGCTCTTTTGTGGACATCCACTGTAGAGAAACTCTCTCAAACACTACCTTTTTCTTCTTAATAGCTTTAGAAGAGACAGCATTCAGAAAAGATGACAGCCCGAGTGTTGCTAATGTCAGCCCCAGAAACAACCTAAGTGGTTTATGGCCATATTCTCTGTTTACTGTAGATACTTGTCGAAACAGGGAATCCTTTACAGCAATCAAATGTATTTAAAGGTCATTGCCTCTCAAATTCCACAACAAAGAATTTCTCACTGGGAGGAAAAAAAAGTTCTCAGGTGAGAAACAATGAGAAATAATCATTATGACATCATGGAGAAAGAGGTACAAGGATGAGGAGGAGTGGAGAAGATGTCGGAATTCTGAACACAGTGGTAAGCAGAGGAGCACCTGTAAACATCAGTGGAAGACACAGATGACTTTCAAGACATTTCTGCCATTGAATATCCTATTCACTTTAGCTCATAGACTCAATAAGAAATCTCCATCAATATCAGCCAAGGTGAAACAGAATTTATTCACTTAATACACTCGGACTATCTGTGTTGTCCTAGGCATTATGGGAATAGAAGGCAAAGCCCCTAGTCTGTGAACAAATGTGACATACTCGGGAGGTGGGGAGAACAGAATCCACCTGGTATTGTAGTGCAGTACACAGCTCTCATCTGAAACACGACCTGAAGCAATGTAAAACTTATTTTCTTTCTACAACAAAGATTTCATAAAAACAGCTACCACTTAATTAAAAGCTTAGGAGGACACTATATTTCAAGATACAGAGATTAAAGTATATTCTCCTTTGAGATACAAGTCATCATAATTCTGAAAATTTAATTCAATTTCTTCCATCAATTGTATAATATATAGACAATGTTCTGTTTGGATATTTGACATAAAATATTTAGAGCAATAAGGTCTGTATTTATAAAAAACTAATAAATAGTGTATTCTGCAAGCACCAACATTGTATGTCTCATGACAAAACAAGTACACACACACACACACACACACACACACACACATACACACACACACAAAATCTCCATTGCCTACCTTGAACTGTCAGAGTGGCTGATGCTTCAGCTTTCCCAACCATATTTTCTGCCACACAAGTGTATGATCCCATATCACCAGCCATCACCTTCCGAATTTTCAAAGTATGATCATCTCGGATTTCATATCTGATGATATAATAAAAGAAAGCAAAGATCTGTGGCTTTCTTCTTGGAAGATCACATCATTACAACTATGCATTAGATATGATCTAGGTATCAGGTAACAGACAGCCAATCCCTCAAAATAATTAGAAACAAAGCGTAACGCATGGCTATCCTAAAAATTAATTCATTTTCTAAAAGAACAATTATTCATTGATCTCCTCAAGCTACTGCGCTCAAATTAAACTCAAATGGCATGGGATGGACCATTGATTAAATCCCAAATATAAAGGTTTTATATACATTTGAACCTTTTAACTTCTAACAAGAAGGTTATGACTCAACAGATACTATTTTGTAGATGGGAAAACTGAGGCATTAGAAGATGAGGCCCCTTGGTCTTGCTCCTCAAATGCTTAGTGCTAACATTTAAACCGACACCAGATACGTCATCCAATGTGTCAGTTGACTTTCTCTCCATTCAGAAGCCTTAGCTTCATTTACCCGCTAGATCAAAAACAAAACTTGCCTCTCTTCTGTTAAAAGCACAGCAATAGTGTAGCCTCTACCCTTAACAGAGTAACATCTACTGTTGTAGTTTATTTCTGAATATTAACCCTGCCCATCCTAACCTTTTGTGGCTTAGCAATGTCATGCAATGTGACCCGAAACTCTTTACTGCATGCATCCCCTCATCATTTGGTCTCAGCATCTCCAGTCTGACATCACATAAGTGCTTAGCAGGTACTCTGAGCATGAGCTATGCTGAATGTTTCCAGCACATCTCTGTCTATGCTGCAATGGTCCTTATCTGCAGCAGTTTACTCTTCATTCCAGTGCACATATATACATATATGTGTGTTTACATGAATATATATGTATATATATATATACATGTATATATCCCTCTATATATTTCAGCCCTTGCATATGGTTCATTTTCCTTTGAGCAGTTTCTCCCATTTTCTACCTATCTATATGACAAAAGGGCTCGATAATGTTATTATTAGGTATCTACTCATGCCTGTTTTCTTCTTTAAATTCCTTAAGCATGGACTGTCCATCCTAAAGCTACAATGCTGACACTTAGCAAGGACCAAACACATGCTGCTGACAGAGTGAATACCTGAGAGAATATTCTAGTGACAAGACCAGAATGTTCTACGTCACCATCTCATCATCAGTGCTCCCTAATGCTTAGATCTCTGTTCCTCTGCTATTGAAGGATTTAACAGACAACAAGAAATCCTGACTTCTTAGCCTTTCCAGGTTATACTACAGCTAATAAAAAGGAAGTCAAGTATTTAATTGGCTCACAGTTCCATGTTTAATGCTGTGTCTATTTTCCTTTCCCATGTACTCCTTTGCAAAAAGTTGGCATTAAATTTGGCCGAGAGGAAGAGAAATCTATTTAAATAACACTGTAAGTACAAGCTACGGTCACAGACTGATGCTTCTGAGAGCTTCAGACACAAGCCAGTACCCCCTGATTCTAATCATCTCTAGAGTTCCATCCTGACTCTGGCCACAGACTCAATAGACGTTCTTATGATACAAATGCATCATGATAAGTATATTATAAGTCAATAATATCATGAATCCAAGAGTCATTTCATACACTTAATTTCCCATATCCTAGCTTGGCCCCACAGTACACTAAAGAGGGCTGATTTTTGTTTGTTGTTCGTTTCTCCTCTGATCATGGGAACTGTGGCTCATTGCTGCAATCCTGGACTGAGGACACAACATCACTTATCACTAGCCCTGGGGAGGATTATAATTTGAAGTATGGGTTGTTCAACTGTTTCATGAAGTAAAAACTGAAAGCGATGCTATCAGAAGTGAGGATTAGGACATAGACTAAGGACAAGTGTGACCTGACTCGAAAGAGAAATTCCAAACTGATCCATCACATTGTTTTGTTTGTTTGTTTGTTTTGTTTTTCAAGACAGGGTTTCTCTGTGTAGTTTTGGTGCCTGTCCTGGAATTCACTCTGTAGACCAGGCTGACCTCGATCTCACAGAGATCGGCCTGGCTCTGTCTCCCAGGTGGAGGATTAAAGGCGTGTGCCCCCACTGCCCGGCGATCCCTCACATTGTCAAACCCCCATACGTACCTGGATTTAGGCAGCTCTCCATCATCTTTCCTCCATCGAACCGTAGGCACGGGGTCTCCTCGGGCCTCACATTTAAATTCTGCACTGTCATCCACAGTTACTGCCAAATTACTGGGTCTCTTCACAAATGATGGTCTCTCTGGGAGATGAATGGATTGAAACCCCCTTAGGATGTTCAGTAAGGACAGATCCATTTATTCCACACAGTTGCCCACTTCTGTACACCTCCCGCTGTGTTCTCTACTTATGCTAACCTCGTATCTTTGAATACTTTATTTCAAGCTGCTTTCCTGATTCCTTCTCACCCATTCTCTTTTCTCCCAAGATTACTGGTCTTTCCTTCTCCCTGATGGAAAAGGTTATACAGTTTGATTGAAGTTGATATTTTTTTTCCCTTTGTCTAAAGATAGAAGATGACAACGATGAGTATGTTCTACCGGGATTAGATGTCATTAGATAAAAGTACACTCACCTAAAACAGTGAGCTCTGCAACCTCACTCTCGCGTTCGCCCACCATGTTGGTGCCAACACAAACGTACTTGCCAGCATCGCTCTTACGGGTATACGTGATCATGAGCTTTCCTCCTCGTATCTTCAAAAAAAACCAAGACAACCGACACGGATATTATGAAAATGTCTATAACTGGTAACAGAGTTGAGATCTTCGTAAATAAAGGTGACTTTCTAGCCAAATAAATCAAAGCATAACTAAGCAAAACTGTTGGTGTATACAATTTGCTATATTTATTAACAGTATCCTTAAACAAACTTAATTCCAAATAAACAATATGAAAGAAGAAAAACACTTTATTTACCTATATATTTGGTAAAGTCTCACTCACTCTAAGTGTTAATTTGTATTTTAAATCAACTGAAACTTTCATATTTTTAATTAGGTGCAAATCACAAACATTAAATGAAAAAAAAGAGTTCAGTTGAAAAAAGGGTGAATTTTTAAGAACCACAGGAATATAATCAATATACAAATATGTATCAGCTACAAGTGATATAAATATTCATATTCTAGTATTATTAAGCACAGAAAAATGTCTCTAGATAGTTTGCTAGAACTGCTTTAAAGGAAAATATCTTACTTGTCAATGCATACTAACATCTTCCTTTTGATAGCAGAGTTTTTCCCTCCAATGTAGCTTTTTTTGAAACGTGTGGAGCACCAAGTATAATGAATAGTCTTCCCCCAAATCACCCAAGAAGTCACAATGAACAGAGTAACAATCCCTTCTCCTTCCACTCCTCCCGATGGAGTCCTCCAGTCTCCTTCCCAGCTCTGTAGCAGATCACCTGCTGCAGCCTCCCTTCCCTCCCTGACCCCACTTCCAGTGGACAACACAAATCTAATCCTCCAACTTCAGGAGACAGCCAGAACACCACAACAGAAACGCTAGAGCTAACTGAAGTCATAAACCAAATGGACCTAACAGATACCTAGGTCCGTAACATTTTATACCAATAACCTTTCACCCAAACACAAAAGAATATACCTTCTTCTCAGTACCTCATGGAATCTTCTCCAAAATTAACCATATACTCCATCACAAAGCAGGTCTCAACAGACACAAAAACATGGAAATACCACCCTGCATCCTATCTGGCCACCACAGATAAAGCTGGATATCAGAAACAACAGAAAGCTTACAAACTCATGAAAACTGAACAACTCACCACTGAATGAAAAATGGGTTGAGGCAGAAAATAAAGACTTTCTAGCATTGCATGATAACGAATACACAATAACCCAAAAAACGTACGGGACATATTGAAGATTGTCCTAAGAGGCAAGTTCATTGCCCCAAGTACCTACATAAAAAAGTTGGAGAGATCTCATATTAGTAACTAAACAGCACATTGGAAAGCTCTAGAACAAAAAGAAGAAATCACACCCAAAAGGAATAGACCACAAGAAATAATTAAACTTAGTTGAAATCAATAAAATAGGAAAAAGAATCAATGAAAGGAAAAGTTGGTTCTTGGAAAAACTCAGTAGGATTGACAAGCTCTTATCCAAATGACCAAAAAGGCAAAGAGAGAGAGAGAGAGAGAGAGAGAGAGAGAGAGAGAGAGAGAGAGAGAGAGAGAGGAGAGAGAGAGAGAGAGAGAGAGAGAAATACCCAAATTAAGAAAATCAGAAGTAAAAAGGAGGACATATCAACAGACACCAAGGGAATCCAGAGGATCATAAGGACATATTTTAAAAACCTGTAACTTCACCAAATTGAAAAATCTAAAAGAAATGGATAATTTTCTGTATACATATTTCTTATCAAAGTTAAATCAAGATCAGATAAACAATTTAAGCAGCCCTATAAGCCCCATTGAAATAGAAGCAGTGATTAAAAATACCTACCCCCCCCCCCCAAATAACTATTGCCAAACTGCTTTAGTGCAAAATTCTACTACAGTTTTGAAGGGTAGTTACTGGCAACACTCCTCTATTTATTCCACAAAATAGGTAACCCAGAGCCAGAAAAACAAATATGATAGGCATTCGCCTATATGTGGATAGTAAGTTAATGATAACCAAGCTATCATCACAGAACCACAGAAGTCAGGTCTAAAGTGAGCAGCTAGGTGGGGGTGGGGGCAGATAGCTCTCCCAAGGAAGGGGAGATAGGCTAATTACGGATGGATGGGAGAGATGGCAAGAGATAGAAAATGGGAGAGACAAGCTAAAATTAAGGGTCATTTTATGGATAGTACAGAAATTTAATACATATTCTCATTTTGACAGTACGCTATGAGTTAAAAGAGCCTCTAATGGCTCTTGAGTGCCCTAGAACCTGCCAAAATGTCTAACAAGAAGTAACATTTTTGTTGGAGGAAAGAGATTTGTCTAGTAAGCAAGTTGGAACAGGGCTGAGATTTTGAGCACAGTCTGTCTCTTTGACTTTGTGAGGGGCACTGGGGACAGTACATATACAATTTATATCTTATTATTATAATTACTGTTTAACAAATTTGTGTTTAATAAGCTTGAGTTCTTGAGATTGAGAACCAGTATGATATCATAAAATGACGATCCTCCTAAAAAGATATACTACCCCTTTTATTACATGCTTGTGTTGAAATACTCACACGAGCAAGTCTAAAATTGAGGGGAACAGATTCATTTCAACAAAAGGGAGAACAAACCCCTCCCTTACTGAAATGAAGGACCTGAGGCGTACTCTGTACATCTTGCTGTTGATTCTGTAACTATGGACAACTTGTGGAAACCTTCCTCTCATGCTCAAGAGTCTAACTTTAAATGACCTTGCATACTTAGGAGAGGCGTTTCATTTAAGAAGACATAACGCAAACAATATTAGATTAACGTAACAGGAAAAAGGAGTAAGCCAACAAATGTCTTCAACATTCCCTTTCATCAGAAAGTCAATAAGTCACCATGCTTATCTACAACAAATATAAGGCTTTGAGAATAATTTTAAAATGCAAATATCTAGGAAAATGAGAGCCAATGAATGATAACGTAAATAATTTCCAAACGCAGAGATTTATTTCTACAGTTTTCATACCATGCAGTATTTATTTACTTTTACAATTTTTAAATCCTTGGGATCTTAAATCAACTTGATTTTGTACACATGGGACATCAATTAACATTATCTATTACAGCCTGATGTTATTCTATTTTTGAAAGATTACATACAAATGGAGGAGGAGGGGAAATTAACTAACAAGAATTATGGGGGAGATGCTGGGAACGTCTCAGTCATGGAATAATTCCAACTGTGAGGGAATGGGAGGGAACAATAGTTGAGGTAAAAGAACACTGGAAGAAAGCTGTAAGAGTTGAAAGACTTTCTGCTATTCACCATGTTTATAAAATTCTAACTACAGTAAGTTCATTTATCCTGCAATAGAGTTTACAGTGTAGTCAACAAGGAGAGCTGCTTTGTTAGCATAGAGTGATATTTCAGTATTGAATATTAATAGACAAACTAACTGTTCCTGTCTTATAAACATGTACTTTACAGACTTTAAAAAAAAATACAATTCAGTTAGATACAGGTAATTCGTAGCCTTTTTAGGTTGCCATCCCTTCCTCCCAAATGATGGGGACAGTGATCCTTCTGCCTCGCTGGGGGCTGCTACAGTATCTGGAGATTGACTTGGTTGTCAGAACCAGCATCAAGGAGCAGTGCCAGTAGTCACCGGACAGGCCAGAGATATTGCTAAAGCTCCTACAGTACACAATCATTCTCCATCTCCAAGAGTTACTCATTTCAAAATGTCAATGTTGCTGAAATGAAGAAGTCTTGTCCTAACTTCCTGGCTGTGAACAAGAATAAATACCAGCTTAAAACAAGAAAAGAATAAATACCAGCTTAAAACAAGAAAAGGACACAAAATGAGATGGTATCAGAATTATTTATTCCACTTAAAAAAAAAACTGAGATTTTTCCATATGGCTATAAAACCCTCTCCAATATATAAACCATCAATCCTCAACAACAAAACCCTATTGGGACAACTGCATCGAAAATATCCTTTTGTTTCTTACTGAGATAGGGTCTCAATATGTAGCCCTGGTCTGGGATTCACTATACAGACCAGACTGGCCTGGCACTCACAGAGATCTGCCTGCCTCTGCCTCCCAAGTGCACCTGGTCCACACAGTATTTTATACTGGTTGGAAAGTCAGTCTAAAGTTCTCAAAATAGACTGCACATGGATGAAACTATTCCTAGGTGCAGAGACAAAGAATGTTGAAAGGAGGTAAGTGACAAAACCAAACGATCCAAGAGTCAAAAAGAAGGGAGGAACAATTACAGACTTCCAAGTCCACAAGCTAAGTGGATTTGGACATTATGGCAATGGCTATATTGAAATGGGGCTATGGAAAGTCACAATTTTATTCTCTAGGACCACACCTATGGAAAATACAGTGGTCTGTCGTTTTCAATAGAAATGGAGACGCATCTCTACAATACTCTCACCTTGATCAAATCAACACACTAGCTTTCAAGAATATACTACCATCATCAGTCTGCATTTTGGGTTGTCATATAAAAATACTCTAAGTGTATAGTGAGTTCCTACATGGAAATCCATGGTGCCCTTTTCAACATTTTCAAAAAACGAAATTTCCTCTCTCTCTAAACAGAGAGGAAAAATATGTCCAACACCCACAAAACACTATAAATGTGAAAAAGAGTGCTATTTAAAACAAGCTCAGATCTGCTTCTTGGCAGGTCTTGTCCTACAGCTGGATTTGACAGCCCAATTGTAAACCTATCAAAAACTAGTTTGTATAATGAACAGACACAATGTTAAACAGTGAACTGCAGCCGAGAGACTTCAATTAACATAATCCTGGGGAGAGGTGCAGCCCAACTTGCTAAGCTCTCAGACAATACCCTGGCATCCCGCCTCTGTCAAAAATCCAAGGCAGGGTCTTACTTCCTCATTACCATGCACCTTACCAGCCCACAGCAGCAACCACATTAGACATCCCCATTTCCATAAGCCCTAGACAGAACTTGGGGGGGGGGGGGGTCAGCTATGTACATACTTAATGAAATCAAAGCAAAAAGAGAGGTTCTGGTGGCCCTGCTCCTTTACAGGAAGGAG